GGATTAAAAAAGAAACTAAGAGTTGAACTTGATGATACTGTTAGGCGCCTTAGTTTGAGCGAACAGAAGTTTGAAAAAGCCACTGTGGCTTATTCAGCTGATGTTGTGAGGTACTTATTAATGATTTTTGATGCAAGATACATGAGATAATCTATTCAGTGGATCTGATTTTAAATCTTAAATATTTTAGGTTCACACAGAAGAGCATTTTGAGGATATATCCAAGGGCAGCGCGGATTAATTCTTCCAACTACAATCCATTGATTGGCTGGATGCATGGAGCTCAAATGGTTGCTTTAAACATGCAGGTTTTTACTTTTCATTCCCTTTCCAGTGTCAACAAATTAATATAAAGGATATTGCAGATCCTTTTTCTAATTTAAGATGTTCCCAATTTGATATCAGGGATATGGCAAATGTCTTTGGTTGGTGCATGGGATGTTTAGATCCAATGGAGGGTGTGGTTACGTGAAAAAACCTGATTTTTTAATGAGTGTCAGTCCAGATGATCAGGTTTTCGATCCTAAAGTAAAATTGCCAGTGAGAAAAGTTTTAAAGGTACATGGTAATAAGAAAATGATATATCATATTTAATTCCATGGTGCTCACTTTTCTAAATGTTTCACAGCAATAAACATTAACAAAAGTTGCTTGCACATGCTTTCACAGGTTAAAGTATATATGGGAGATGGATGGCATATAGATTTCGAAGAAAAGCACTGTAGTTGTTGGTCTTCACCAGACTTATACGCAAGAGTAAGTTTCTTCCAATTAAAAGAAAATAAAAACACACACCATTTATAGATTTCATGAAAGATAATTATAAGTATTAACACAAATATTTACCAGGTGGGTATAGCAGGAGCAACATCAGATAAGAAAATGAACAAAACAAAGAAAAGAAAGGTGAACAGAACACCAGTGTGGGATGAGGAGTTTGAATTTCCTCTAACAGTTCCTGAACTGGCCTTGCTAAGAATTGAAGTTCGTGAGTATAACATGTCAGAGAAGAACTACTTTGCCGGTCAAACTTGCTTGCCAGTGTCTGAACTCAGACCAGGTATCCATGCTGTTCCTCTCTTTAACCGTAAGGGAGAACAATACTCCTCTGTTAGACTTCTCATGAGATTTCAAATTGAACAAGTAAATATTCTACCATAAGATGAAGGAAACAAATGATATACCTTCTAGTTCAATACATCTATCAATATATATTGATTCAATCATTAAAATTTGTATTTGAAAATTTTGAATTTAAATTTAAAAATAATAATTTTTTAATAAATGTGTTGAGTTAGAGAATGTATCAATTATTATTTTAAGATGAGACATTGTCTAATGTAGATTGTGCATTATTGTAATGTATTGTATACCCATATGTTATCCGTGTATGAGTATATCAAAAAGAGAATAAATACTGTGGGGAAAGGGATTGTATTAAAGTGCCATGTAAACTGGCTTTAGTTGTATGCTTTACTTTTTTAGTGGCTTTTCAATTACTTGGGTGATAAGCATTCTGCTGAAAGCCTATAGTAGAGACGTTAATCAATTACATTCAACTTGCTGCCAAGAAGAGGAGGGCATGAGAGAGACAAGATGGTCCCGAGCCACTTCATTAAACTTATAAAACTTTGCATCAGAATGGAACATATTCTCACTTAGTTGAGAATGCAAAGCCAGCATTCAAGATAGCAAGCATCTCTTTGTATTTTTTGGCATCATATATAAAAATAAGGTTTTTTTAACTTGTGTGAGTGTAATTATTATATTTTTTTAATATTAATTAATATTAAAAAATACAAATAAAATCATTAATTTCATCATTAATACCACATCAAATAATTTTAATTGAACAATTACTTAAATAAATGTCATATTTCTTTAATATTAATTAATATTAAAAAAGTGTAATAATTACACCATTAATTTAAAAACACAAGTTAGATAACCTATAATGATAAATATGAAAGATGCTCTTCTTATATTACAAGTTATTTTTAATTCCGTGTAGCTAGAGAGGGAGGCAGGGTAGATGTTCATTCAAGCAGTCTTAATTTCAAGGGAGACAGAAAACATGCATAAGATGGCAATGAATTTTCATCTTTAGGAACATCCGAAAATGGCTATGGCAAATCTTAACTTTGTAAAAAAAAAAAATGTGCAAAACAAAAACTTAATTTGCAATAAAAAAATTTAAAAAAATTGCAAAGGGATGATCCTAAGGTTTTTTTTTTTTTAAAAAAAATTTTGCTTCATGTAATACATTTTAGGGGTAAATCCTTTATAATATCATGAAGCTAACAGTGAACTTTAGTATTACAGTGGATTATGGGCCCTTCTACCAGAAAGGAAAGCATGTGATTGTGAACACTGAACAGAGCCAAATGCTCCCTGGTGTTATTGGGCTACGTTCCATCACATGAGCATGTTGGGCCGACCGATCCTCCGGTCCGCATAAAATAGGCTGGTTGTTCAAACACTGTTAAATTGCGAGATGGGTCTGAGACTGAG